TGTTTCTTTAAGCCCCACTGAGAAAGGCAGGGGTTTGTGGGCTGATCACAGGCAGCTAAAGCTTTTCGTGCAGGGACTTTTCATTCAGGGTTTAAAAATACTTTCTTTGGCCTGAGCAGGTGCAGTTAACAATGAGCTGTCCCTGGGGGCTCGGAGCCTGACAGTGGGGTGCAAGCAAAGAGAGGAGCCTGCCCCCCAAGAGCATCAGTCAATCCTGACTAATCCCCAAGTCCTCCCCCGCCCCATCACCTTTGCAGCCACTGGAAGGAAGCCGCTGAAAGATGTTTAACTTCATGGAATTCTCAAGCCCCAGTGACTTGGCCGATGATAGTGGCTCATGGGATGAGTGAGGAGAGGGGGGATGGTGCCAGGGAGGAGAAGGGGGATAATTGCTCTGCCCCAGTGTGCCCCTACTGAGCTGCAGTCTCGCTGCCTCTTCCACACATTAGACTCCAGGTAGAATGAGCTCTTCGCAGTTAGAAAACACACCAGACATTTGCATGTGCTGTTTCTGCTCCTGGGACACGGCCCTGCCCCACCCTTACCCTGGCTCATCTGCCTGGAACCTGCCCTTCAAGCCTCAGCTCTTTAACCCCCTTCCCCGCTCAGTGTCTTCTCTGGCAGATTTAGGCATCCTTCTCCTTTTTCTCCCATGTACTCAGGGCGCCCCTTCATCATAGCCCTTATTAATAGATTCATGTCACTATTAATACTACCACTGATCATCGGCATTTATTGCATGTCTGCGAGGGACCCAGTGCTGTGGCTGTGTATTTTTTTTCTAACTCAGTCTTGGGGTGTGTATGCAGAAGATGGGTGGGACTCACCCAGGACAGGAGGGTGTCACAGGCAGAGGCCCTGGCGTGGGCAGAGTCACAGAGGAGAGTGACACAGCTTGACTGGTGAATAGAACTAGTTGGGTGGTATTGATGGTGAAAGGCAAGGGGAGGTGTGGGGGGTGTTAGGCAGGAGGGGCAGCCGGGACTGGATATGTCAGAGCACCTAGAACACCCTTCCGAGACTGTGACCTTCTCCTGAGCAGGCTGGGGGTGGGGGTGCTATGGGGGATTTGAGGCAGGGAAGGGGTGTACTGAGAGGTGCATGATGGGAATATCACTCTGGCCACGGAGCTTGGACTGGGTGCATTTATAAGGCTGCAGGACCCTCCAGGTGAGCGACAATGATGGGGAGAAGGGGACAGGGGGAGGGACATTTAGGAGGTTATTAATTAGAAGTGGGGGGGGGCGGTGAAGGAGGACGACCCCTGTGTTTCTGACTTAGTGGACAGGCCACAAGGGGGTGGTTTTTATAGGATGTACTGATCGCCCAGTGACTCTTGCTGATTTATTTAAACCCTTTACAGTTTCCTACCTCTGCTGCTGACTTTCTAGATAACTGGAGGCACGTTCTCCCCCCGACAGGACCTTGATTTCTTCTCCATAAGATGTGCATGCCTGGTGGTGTCCTGCCCCAGGGCCCTCTTGGGTCTGCCAGGCTGCCTGACTTCTGCTCGCCTCCCTCCACTTTCTCTGTCACCTTCTCTCCCTCGCCCTGGCAGAGGGCCAGGCCCACAGAGGGGCTGGTAGGTGAGTGAGTGAGTGGATGAGTTGGCTGAGTGAGTGAGTGGATGAGTTGAGTAAGTGAGTGGGTGGCTGGGTGGGAGTGGGTGACAGATGGAGGAAGGGATGGAGGGAGGGAATGAATGCACACAGGGACCCTTCCTTCCCAGGATCAGAGTGTCTGCCCCACTTGAGTTCTGCCTTCTCTTCCCCTTACCGGCTGAGGTCGGTCATTTGTAAAGCATGGTTTTCTCTGTGTCCGTGTCCATTTGTCCATCGGTCTCTGTCTCTCTTTCTTGATTTTCTTTCTGTGTCTTCGTCTGCCTCTGTCTTTCTCTGTGTCTCTGTCTTGTGTGTATCTGTTCCCTCTGTCTCTCTCTTTGTCTCCATCTCCCCCTCTCTGGCTCCATCTCCTTCATTTATGTTTGTGTCTGTTTTTCTCTCCTCTTCCCCCGCTCCGTTTGTCTCAGCCCTCCTCTCCAGATCTCCGTTTCTCTCTCCTCACCTCTACTTACCCTCTCCCTCTTTCTCTTCGCTTTGTCTCCCCTTTCTCTCTCCCTCTGCCCACCTTAGGGACCCAACAGCCCTGAGCACAGGCTCAAGCACTGTGGCCTGCCGAGAGCCAGAGCCCTGACCTGGGAGGGTGGGATAGGATGATGGCCTGGAACACAGCCCCCAGAGTCTGTCAGGGCCCTTCCAAGCTGCTGGGGCCCTGCAGACAGATGGGGCAGGGGACCGACGAGGCCGCCTCTCAGCCCAGCTTACACAGGGCGGGAATTTCTGAGTGTCGCCTCATCCTCAAAACAAACACCATTGTCCCTGGGGATGAACCTCCAGTGTGTCCATGGCCAGGAGTGGGCCCTTCTTGCCTAGTAAAGACCATGGTATAAAGAGATCTTGAGTCTCTGCCACATCCCTTCTCTGTGCCTCGTTTTCCCTAACTGCAAAATACATTGTCAAGTATAATATTTGGGAGTGAGGGGAGTGAAAGGGTAAATGTGTTTTTGTTCTCTCTGTAGCCCTGAATCCACAGAGTTGTTTCCCCAAATCCTGGAACAATTGCCCAGCCTCTCAGAGTTTGAGGAACACCTGGGTGCAGATAAGCTAACATTTTGGTGTCCCTTCAAAATAATTTAAGTATTTTGCATATTTATGTAATGGAGGTGCTGGGTGCTGTGGCGTAGGGGTAGAGAAAGAGGCCTCCTGGTGGTGGACTTTAGCAATTCCCCTCTGGCCCCAAGCTTGCATCCCCAACTTGCCTCCTTAGAGAACAGTTAAGCAACCATCTGTTGTTCCTCAGACAGGCTCACCCCACATGGCTTGTCAAAGGCTCCTTTTCAGATGTGGAACTCTTCTCTCTCTTGGAGACATTCTGCTAAACAGAATTTTCCCCACCTCTGTACATTTCCATTGTTCCCTTCAGACTAACTCCTCAGGCAGCTGAAAGGCTATCCTATCCTGGAATAAAGAGCAGATATTTCCCAATGTTTATAGATTTTCTTACTTGTTTCTATCATGAAAACTGTGCTAGGTTGACCCCATCATGGAACAAAAAGTGGGACTTAGGTCTCACGGCGCATGGAGCTGAGTTAACCTAGATTGACCATTCTGTCATGTTTCTGACAAATTATTTTTCCTCTGAGAGCCTGTGTGGGTTCTTGTGTACCCTCTGCCTGTGTCTTTCCATTGCTGTGCTCACGGTGAAATTGATTTTGAAAATGAAGTTGTAAATGGAAAAGTCACTTTGCCCCTGTCATGAGGAGCTCTAACAATGGAATGTGTGTTTTTTTAGACACAAAATTGCAGCCTTATGGGCAAATATGTTTATGTCCCAAGCACTCTCTAATGCCCCTAAGCCCTTATCACCCTTATGAGGCAGTTTTTCCCATGATGCTGTGCTTCGTATGTGCTTCAAAGGCTATGACTTATTATTTTCTCATGGGCATGGGCCAGTACTAATTTGCAAGGGTAGGCTAATCCCAGACAACTTGGCTTAGCAAGTCCCAGGATGGGACCTGACTCAGGAAATCACATTCTATTCCTGCTTCTTCTGCCCTGTGGCCCGGGAGAGGGCTGTGCCTCTCTGGATCCCTGTCTCTGTGATGCTAGCCCTCACCTTCAGCCACCTTAAAAGCCAGGGGCACAGAGCATTAGAAACCTTGGCGAGTGGGAGGGAGGGAAGAAACTATATGCTAAGGCTTGCTGAGGCAGGTGGCTCCAAAGCCCAAGACTTCACCCAGGTCTTTCCTGTGCCTCATTGATTTCTCACAACATCCCTGTAAGGGAGAAGCTGTGTGGTCCCATTTTACAGATGAGGAGACTGAGGCCCATAGAGATGACATGACATCCAAGATCACTCATTGAGTTGAAGCCACAGCCAGTTTCTCGAAGGCCAAGTACAATTAACATTTCTACTTGGCTTTTAAGAAACCATTCAAGTGCCTTAGCTCTCATGAGATGGAGAGGCCTAAAGAGCTAAGAGCACAGTCTCAGGAGCCTGGATGGTCTAGGTTTGAATCTCGGCTCTGCCACTCCTTAGATTTGTAAGTTGGTGAGTTATCTGATCTTTCTGTGCCTTGGTTTCCTCATCTATAAAGTCCCACAACCCCCACAACTCTCTTCAGTCTCCGAATCGCCTCTTGTTCTCTGCGTTCCATCAGTAGTCCCTCATATGTGTCACACTTCTTCTCACCACAGTACCTTTGCACCTGCTCTTCCCTCCACCTGGCCCTCCCTTCCCTCTTCTCTTGGGCTGGTAAACTCCTCTTCCTCCTTCAGTTCTCAGCTTAAGCATCTCTTCCCCCAAGAAACTATTCCAGACGCTGCCCGACTAGCTCAGTGATCTTAGCTGAGCTGGCTGGACTCTCAGCTCCAGGCTGCAGGTTGGGTCTATATCTGTCCCATACGTCTCTCACCATCTGGGACCAGCGGCTCCTTTAGGGCCTGTCCTAACAGTGACATAAGCAGAAAAGAATGAGCAAAAACATGTGACGCTTCTTGACACCTTGGTGTGGAACTGGCACACTGTCACTTCTGCCCTTATCTCATCGGCCAAAGCAAGTTCACAGCCACGCCCAACGCCAGTGGGGTGGGGAGGTAGACTCTACTCGAAGAGAAGTCTCCCAATGTGTCCCTGTCATCATAACTCCAAGCACTAATGATCCTCTTTTATAGCACTAACCAGGGCTGTAATTTTACATTTATTTGAATAACCCGGCTCTCAAAGACAGTAGGACCCGTGGATGCTTTTGCAAATCATCTTATCCCCAGCTCCAGGCACACTGCCTGGCACATAGTAGGTGCTCAATAAATATGTAAGTGAATGAATAAATGAATGAACGCCTGAGGATTCCCCAGGAGGCCCAGAGTGGGTGGGGTGGGTTTTTGCCTCCCCCCTCCAGCTCACCTGCCATGTTCCCTGGACCCTGGCTGGTGGGGAAGGCTTTAAAGGTGAGCGTGACCACTGGCGCAGCGGGCGGACCATCTGCATCAAGACCCACGAGAGCGGCCAGAAGGAGATCGAGGCCTTCGATGCTGCCATCCTGCTCATCCGGAACCCCTACAAGGCCCTCATGGCAGAGTTCAACCGCAAGTATGGCGGTCACATTGGCTTTGCTGCCCACGCCCACTGGAAGGGCAAAGGTACCGCTTGGGGGGGGAGGGTGGGCTCTGGGTGTAAGGGGCAAGTGCTACCTGGGTCAGGGTGGCCAGGAGGGAGAGATCGATTCCTCATGGGAGGAATCTAGGAGGACATCCTTGAGGGCAGCTTGTGATGCTCCACGCCCAGTCCTTGCTGGTGCACAGAGTACTTCCACAACCTACCACACCTGCGAGCACCCATCTCTATTAGCTGGCCTCGGAGAGCACCCTGGAGCAGGTCCTGTCCTGGGACTCAGGAGACCTGGGTCCAGCCCCAGGTCTGTGGCTGACTGGCTATGTGACCATGAGGTCATCTAGGAGATCCTAAGAGCTCACGTACAGACCATCATTTCTGTGAACCCAACCAACAACTCTGGGTTGGGAGGCTCAGAGAGATTAAGTGCCTTGCCCCGGGTCACACAGCCGGGAAGTGACAAGGTTGGTACCCAAGCACTTTGAGCTTTTACTAAGATGACCTAGGTTTGAGCCTCAACTCTGACAATTTCTAGATTACTAGGTTCCAGAGGGCTGTGTGAGGGGGCATCTCAATGCAGAGAGGCAGCCCAGGGTAGCGGCCGGAGCTTTTGAAGTCAGACCCAACTTCTGCCATCTCCAGTAGCCTTAACCTCTCCGAGTCTCAAAATCCCATACCGATTACATGATGACGCATCACCATAGTGAGAGTCACGTTTTATTAAGTTTAAAAGGGTTAAAGTCCCTGTGTGGCATGAACGGTTAAGCACTCGACTACTAACCAAAAGGTTGGCGGTTCAAACCTACCCAGAGGCACTTTGGAAGTAAGACCTGGCAGTCTGCTTCCAAAAGGTGACAGCATCGAAAACCCTACGGAGCAGTTCTACTCTGCACACACAAGGGTCGTTGCCATGAATGGGAATTGACTTCGACGGCAGTTAACGACAACAAGAAGTTCTCAAAGCCCCACAAATATTATCCCCATTTTATAGATGAGACAACCTAGGTTCAAGGGAGGTTAAGGAACTTTGTCTAGTAAGTGGTAGAGCTGGGATTTCAACCCAGGGAGTCTTGCTGCCAGGCTCATGCCCTGAACCACTGTGCCTATGATCATGGATTAGATGAGATGTTGGTGGATATGAATCACCCATCCCAGAAGCCCTGACACACAGTAGGTGTTTTGTAAGTCTGAGCCCCAGCCTCCAGGATACTGGCCACCCTGCCTTGAGCCAGGAGGGTACTTCCCACCCCTCTAGACCCTCCCCTTGGCTCCCAGCGGCTCCAAAGCTCCTTCCCCAGAGAGGACCAGACCATGGCAGGGGGGATGATGACTTGGCCATTCCCCAAGCACACCCTCAACATCGACTGCAGCGATCAGAACCCCTAGGCCTCCTGACCAGCTGTGCCCTGGCTTCCCAGTTCACTCAAGGGGCTTACCGCCCACCCTGCCTCACTCCCCTCTCAGTGAGTGGGTAGGAGCTTGAACAGGTGGTGACATTTGATCACTTGTTCCCAGGCCTCTGAATTATTTATTCGTGGAACAATCGAAAGTGAGCTTCGGTCAGAGCCAGGCTGAGAGGCCTATAAATGTGAAAGGCAGTAGCCTTCCCAGGGGGTGAAAATCCACTTGTTGGAGCCGGAAGGGACCTCTGAGTCATGGAACCCAATGGTCCTCTGTCCTGGCTACACATTAGAATCCCCGGAGGAGTGTAGAAAAATCCCAGCACCCAGGCTACACCCCAGACCATTACTCTTTTCTGGGGATGGGGCCTAGGCATCAGTATTTTTTTTTTAATGCTCCCCAGATATTCTCAATATGCATGCAGGCAGAGCTGAGAATATGGCTGCTAACCAAAAGGTCAGCAGTTCGAATCCACCAGGCACTACTTGGAAATGCTATGGGCAGTTCTATTCTGTCCTTTAGGGTCACTATGAGTTGGAATCAACTTGACGGCAATGGGTTTGGGTTTTTTTGGGGGGGTTACAAATGGGGAAACTGAGGCACATAGAGAGGCAGGCACCTTCCCAGGTCACTCGGGCACACAGTGGCAGGACTAGCCACCAGCTTCCCAAGCATTCTGCTGCCCTGAGTGAAAAGGGGGCAGGGGATAACTATGGAAGCACCCATGGGTCCAGGCACCCAGCATTCATTATTGCATTTAGACTTTCCAGTAGCCCGAGAAGATCAGAAAGGCTACGATAATCACCACAGCCCTCCATTTTACAGACGCATGACCATCCCAGGTAGGGGACAAGTCACTTGTCCCCAGGGATTGACTGCACTGGACATTCAGAGGGTTCCCTGAGTGGTACAAGCAGTTAACATGCTCGGCTGGCTGCTAACTGAAAGGTTGGTGGTTCGAACCCACCCAGAGGCAACTCAGAAGAAAGGCCTGACAACCTACTTCCGAAAAATCAGCTATTGAAGACGCTGCGGAGCACAGTTCTGCTCTGACACACGTGGGGTCACCATGAGTCAGAGTCTACCTGACAGCAACTGGTCTTTTCTTCTCTCCAGGCATAGCACCTTGTCCCAGCTGCAGATAATTCTCCTAATTCCCAGTAACTACTGCCCCTCTTTTTCCTTATTCAAGACAGCTGGGAGGACTCTGAACAGGCTGAATCCAGAAGTTGCAGGGGAACCCGGGCAGGCTTATCTCATATTGAGGGTCTGGCACCCTTACATTCGTCTGGTGCGAGGAAAGAGGCTTTCGGCCAGCGCCCCTTCCCAGACCCGCCTCAGGTCATCAAGGGCTGTGGCTGAGAGCCTTCCCAAAGAGCCCAGATAGTCCCCACCCAGCCCGTTCCTCTAGTTTCCGTTTACTCTCTGGCCCATGCTGGCCCTTGAGTTTGAGGCCCTTGCTTTAGGGCCCCTGAACCAGCAGCATCCGTATCACTTGGGAACTTATTAGAAATGCAAATTCTCATGCCTCACCCCAGAGATGCTGGGAACAGGGCCCAGGAGAGAGAGAGAGACAGAGAGAGAGACAGAGACAGACAGACAGACGGAGACAGAGAGAGAGACAGAGACAGACAGACAGACGGAGACAGAGAGAGAGACAGACAGAGACAGAGAGAAAGAGAGAGAGAGAGAGAGTGTGTGTGTGTGTGTGTGTGTGTGTGTGTGTGTGTGTGTGTGTGTGTGTGTGTGTGTGTGTGTGTTTATAGGATCTCAGGTGTTTCTCATGCACACTTAAGGGTAAGCCCCACTGCTCTCAAACCTTGCATCTCCAAGCGTGGTCTCCGGACCAGCTGCATCAATGCCACCTGGGAATTTTTCAGAAAAGCAAATCGCAAGTTTGCAGTCAATGGGGGTGCCATTTCATCTCCATCCTAAGGGCATCCAAGGCTCGGGCACCGCGCTTCCTTTCCCATGAGGGACTTGCTGGATCAGAATCCGCATATTTACAAGCTGTCCCTAGGTGCTCCATAAGCACCTTCAAGTCTGAGAATCACTGTGTTAGACTCAAAGAAGACTCCCACAGCATAGCGTGTGCAGGCCACCCACGGAAGAGCAGAGGCCACCCAGCTGTCCAGCGTGTCCACCCCACCCTGGCCATGTCCCCCCCCCAGGTACAGCTGAGCTGAGGCACCTGCAGACCCCCCTCCCTTTGGTTCTGTACCATTAATTTTACTATCTCCCTGGAGTGGTTCCAGAGAAAAGTTTTATGTGATATGATTACACAAGGTGAATTGTTCTGGACTGGTGTAATGAAACAGATACCGTGTTTAATGAGTCCATGGAGAATTAAGTACCGTGATGCTATTAATCAGGCCCTGGCTCATCCTGTTGACAAGAAGATGGAGCAGAGACTGGCCAGTCCGGGGCTGGCAGGTGCACATGTGACAGTTACAGCAGAACCTGCACTCATGACAATGCCCCATGGCTCATTGTGCCTTTCTTACCCCATTTGGAGGCAGCGACCAATTACCAGGAATCCTCGGCTAATTGAGGGCTCTTGTTTTTCATTTTTATTATTCTTTTTTCCAATGAGCTTCAAGTGAGGAAGTGCTGCCACAGGAGAGGAGGAGGGGTGGGCAAATATCCATGCCAGAACAGCCCAGAAATCAATACACCTGGGAGAGAAGCTCTAATCGAGATGATGAGACATGTGGGAGTGTCTCAGGAGATGCTGGGGGGCCAGTGTTATCAAGAATAGTCAAAACAACATCTAGGTCAATTGACATAACAAAGTTTATTAAGAAAATGTTCTGCATCCCACTTTGGTGAGTGGTGTCTGGAGTCTTAAAAGCTTACAAGCGGCCATCTAAGATGCATCAAATTGATCCTGTCCCACCTGGAGTAAAGGAGAATGAAGAACACGAAAGACACAAGGAAAGTATTAGCCCAAGAGACAGAAAGGGCCACATAAACCAGAGACTCCACCAGCCTGAGACCAGAAGAACTAGATGGTGCCCAGCTACCACTAATGACTGCCCTGACAGGGACCACAACAGAGAGTCCTGGACAATGGGAGAAAAGCCTGGAGCAGAACTCAAATTCACGTAAAAAGACCAGACTTGCTGGTCTGACAGAGACTGGAGAAATCCCCGAAACTATGGCCCCTGGACACTCTGTTAATCCAGAACTGAAACCATTCCCAGAGCCCACACTTCAGACAAAGATTAGACAGAACTATAAAACAAAAAATAATACACGAGGAATGTGCTTCTTAGTTCAATCAGATACATAAGACCAAATGGGCAGCTCCTGTCCAGAGGCAGGATGAGAAGGCAGGAAGGAACAGGAACTGGTTGAATGGACACAGGAAACCCAGGGTGGAAAAGGTGAGCATGCTGTCACATTGTGGGGATAGCAACTAATGTTACAAAACAATATGTATACAAATTTTTGTATGAGAATTAACTTGAGCTATAAACTTTCACCTAAAGCACAATTAAAAAAAAACAATAGCCACAACAGTAACGTTTTATTGAGCATCTATATGGTGCAAGCAGTTTCTGATTGGCTGCTAACCTGAAGGTTGGTGGTTTGAACCCCCCCAGCAGCACCTTCGAAGAAAGGCCTGGCAATCTCCTTTGCCAGTTAGCCAATGAAAACCTTATGGATCACAACAGAATATTGTCTGACTCACTTGCTTTGAACACGTCATCTAGAGGGATCAGTCTCTAGAGGAGGACATCATGTTTGGCAAAGTGGAGGGCCGGCAAGGGTGAGGGAGACCCTCAGTGAGATGGACTGGCACAATATCTGCAACAATGGACTTGAACATGCTGGTGATTGTTAGGATGACACAGGACACAGCAATGTTTCATTCTGTTGTATATGAGGTCATCATGAGTCGGAGTTAGCAGCTAACAACAACACAACAGGGCTACAATTCTTGCTCTCCAGGCTCCTTGTGAGTGCTGAACGAGAGGAGGCGTGACGTGCCCAGCACAGCCCCTGACACACAGCCGGTGCTCAGGCAGCATACATCCCCATCTCAATCCTCAGACGGAGGACGCTGGTGTCCCAGGGAGGTCTGCAACCAACGAGGACGCCATGTCATCTCCATCCCACTACCTGGGGACCCAACCACCACCCAGACTGGCCCTCCCTTTTCCTGGAGGGCCACCCTGCATCCTTCCTTCAGCAACCACCCAAGATGACCAGAAGTGGCCAAGCCCAGACGTCCAGACCTGTGTGCCACTGGGTGACCGAGCGCTACCTCTGGCCACCCCAGCTTCTCCAGCTGTCACAGGTCTCACCACGATGCTGAGGTGACTAGGAGTGGGGTAATTCTGGAAGAGTAAAGCAGCCCAACACATGCTGGATTTATTTGTTAATCACTCAGATGCATCTGGTCTTAACCATTATAACAGTACGGGCCCAATTAGCTAGCAACATCATAAAATAATGTTGATTTTAAGCATAAAAAATATCCTTGTCACCGGCGTAAATATTTCCCAAGCAGCCGTGGCGTTCTGGACGGGGCAGGAGCCTCAGCACAGATTCTGCGTGTTCACTGAAGAACGAGGAGCCCCTTATCACGTCTCAGTGTGGGGGTTGCGATTTTCAATCTCATTCCACAACCATTTATTGAGCCCCTGCTGAGTGCAAGGCAGTGGGAGGAAGTAGGGATGAGGCTGCCATGCCTCGGAAGGATCGCTGGGGCCTTTGGAGTCAGGCAGGCCTAGTGTGGCTGCTGCTTCCTGGCTGTATAACCTCAGACAAGTCATTTCACGTCTCTGAGCTTCCGCTTCCTCGCCAGTGATAAGTGATTGACATCCTTTCCTTTCCGGGCATTGGGAGTAAACGAGACGATGGGTATGCATCATCCATCAAGGAAGTAGGGTTTCATTATTAAGAACCAGCTAGGCCATAACTTAGGGTTGCTGGGTGGCACAGTTAAGTGCTCAACTATTAGCCAAAAGGTTGGTGGGTGGAACCTACCCAGAGCCGTCTTGGAAGACCTTAGGCCTGGCGATCTGCTGAAAGCTCACAGCCTTGGAAACCCTATGGGGCACAGTTCTACTCTGCACACAGGGGTCGCCATGAGTCAGAATCGACTCAACAGCAACTAACAACAGCAAGGCATAGCTTGGGAGACCCAGTGACTCTCCTTCAATAAACAGATCCCTCGTGGTGGGTAGAGTTACCCCTGTGAGAAGCTGCAGGTCTCGTTCAGAGCTTCAGAACACCTGCCCTTGTGTCTCCAGTGGGACTCAGAATCGAGGCTGCGGTTTCTTTCTCCATGTTCCCCTTCTGCAGTTTCCTGGCTTCTCCTTCTATCGGGGTTTCAGCAGTTCTAGGGGACAGCTGCCTCTCCCTTTGAGGTCCCCTCCAAATCCTCAAAGGGATTCCCCAGATTCTCGGTAGCCTGTCTTTCGAGTCAGACAATCCCAAACACAGCCTCCCAGTTTGGGTGACAATCCATCCTGTTCTTATGCCATGCCAAGGTAGCAAACTGCAAAAAGAAACAGTGTACAGTACTTCAGTAACGAGGAAAGAAAGAAAGGTAGAAATGGAAGTGTGGAAAGATGCCGACAGAAATAGCCTGATTCCAGCCCAGGCCTCAGATAGCTCACGGTCTACTGGGGACTCAGGCTGCGTAAGCAGGGGATCACAGCACAGTGAGATTAGCATGAGAGGGTGTGGGGGGAAGCAGAGAGGGCTGTGAAACCCAGAGGAGGCACCTGCGTGAGCCTGGGAGTCAAGTGAAGATGGCATCTCGCCTGAGAAGAGAAGAATAATAGTAGCCAGCATTTATTGAGCACTTACTGGGTTGTTGTTGTTCGTTGCCATGGAGTTGATCCTGATTCATGGAGACCCCATGTGTTGAGAGTAGAACTGTGCTCCATAGGGTTTTCAGGACTGTGACCTTTCAGAAGCAGATTGCCAGGCCTTTCTTCTGCAACACCTCTGGGTGGGTTCGAATCACCAACCTTTTGGCTGGTAGTCGAGTGCTTAACCATTTGTACCGCCCAGGGACTCCATTTACTGGGTACCGGGCACCATACTAATAACTTCACATGCTTTATGTATTTATTCTGTACAATGGCCTTACGAGCCTGTGAGTAGGTACTATTACTACACAGACAGACAGGATAGCTTGGTAGTTTAAGGCCCAGACTGTGAAGCTAGCCTGCCTGGGTTCAAACTCTAGCTCTACCACTTGTTAGCTGTGTGACCCTGAGCAAGTTACATAATCTCTCTGTGCCTCAGTTTCCTCTTCTGTTTAATGGAGATAATGGGGTGATATATACCTCACAGGGTTGTTGTGAGATTAAGTAGAGTTGGTAAAGCTCTTAGGAATGGTCCTGGCATGTAAGCCCCAGATGTTACTGTTATCCCCCAAAACAAGGAAGAGCTAAGAATACTCAAGGCAGAAGAAACACTGAGGTGGGAGGAATCTAGTGAGTTTAGAAATCTCAAAGGAGTTAATTATGTTATTATTACTGTGAATAATGTAATATAATAATTATTATTAATAACATGTATAATAATTAATATATACTTATTACTGTGACTAATGGCAGACATCACTGCTGTCCCATCTGACCTGGCTCTTTTGAACCCCTTCTCCCTCTGACTCCTTCCTCCTCCTGATCCCCTCCTCCCTCTGGCTGTCTCCTCCCTCTGACTCCCTCCTCCCTCTGGTCCTCTCCTCCCTCCTCCTCCTCCCTCCATCCCCTCCTCCCTCTGGCCCCCTCCTTCTCCCATCCCCTCCTCCCTCTAACTTCCTCTTCCCTCTGGCTCCCTCTTTCTGGCTCCCTCCTCCCTCTCCTTCCTTCCCCTGACTCCCTCCTCTCTCTCGTCCCTCTTCCCTCTCCCTCCTCCTTCTGGTCCCCTTTCCCGAGGGATCCTTCTTCCCTCTTCCTCCTCCCTCTCCCTCCCTCCGTCCTCCCCTCCCGCCGTCCTCCCCTCCTCCCCCAGAGTGGCCAGAGTTCGTGAGGAACTACGCCCCGTGGTGGGCCACCCACACGCTGGACTGGCTGAAGTTCGGCAAGAAGGTGCTGGTGGTACACTTCGAGGACCTGAAGCAGGACCTCTTCGTCCAGCTGGGCCGGATGATCCGCCTGCTGGGCGTGGCCGCCCATGAGGACCGACTGCTCTGCGTGGAGAGCCAGAAGGACGGCAACTTCAAGCGCTCGGGGCTCCGGAAGCTAGAGTACGACCCCTACACGGCGGACATGCAGAAAACCATCTCTGCCTACATCAAGATGGTGGATGCCGCCCTGAAAGGGAGGAACCTCACGGGCGTGCCCGACGACTACTACCCAAGATGATGCGTTCGGCGTGGGGGAGGGCGGACGGGCTGGGTCCCGACCAAGCTGGCCCCGGGACTCCAGACCTCCAGCGACCCCCACCCATCTGCCCTCTCTTTGGTGTGGGGACATCCCTTTGGCCGGCATTTGCCATAAATGAGTTTCCTGCATGACAAAGGAGGCTCAAGGAAAGAGATTGTTCAGGTACTCCCCACAATAGTGACACCCCCCCCCCCGGAGATGTGGCGCAACTGGTTTGGGGATCTCCAGCCACATGGACCCTTTTCTGTCCCCAACATCCTTTCCGCCACCTCTTGCACCACCTTGGGCTCCACTTCTGGGAGGGAGGACTTCTCGGTGTCATGGAACATGCTGGGTACCCACAGCAGGTTTTGAGGACCTTGGTGACAGAGCTAACGGCCATAGTAGAAAAAGTGGCCCCTCCCTTCTGGGCTGAGCTTTGGTAGCCTCCCCTTCTCTACCCAGCTGACCCCAGCTTGGGCAGCAGAAAGCACTGGTGTTGAGCTTTATCTCAGGCCACCTTTTGTTTTGAAGAAAGTGCTGGAAAGTCTCTTTATGGCCATAGGTTCCTGGCATTCTGGGCAGGGTGGGGAGGCACTGTCTCTGGAGTCACTGGGGTCATGAGCCCAATAGCAAGTCACACTCCTTCTGAGAGACAGTCTGGTTGCCAAGAGGGCTAGAATCCTTCCCTTTTCTTCCCCCACTGTATCCAGGAGGTGACTCTGGGGTCCTTGATCCCACTTCCAAGGTTTCTCAGGCACCAGCAGGCCACTTAACTCACCAGGATGGCCACATGCCATGTGCAGCAGAGTTTGAGGAAGAGCGAGAGCCCCAGTAATACATCTCTCTATCATGGGGTCCAACTCACTGATCTTACACTGCCTGTCTGACCTCTACCAATGAGCCCTTTGCTGTCTAGATGAGAGGGCAAGAGTGCTCCAAATCAGGTAGAACCACATCCAAATGAGACCCTGCTACCTTCCCAGGCCATCAACCTCCCCTTAATAATAGTACAACTAGGCCAGCTTCCCCTGGGGGACCTTTAAGAAATGGGGTGAATGGGAGGGCTCATCATTCTCATACAAACACTGCTCTCTTCATACTGAGACGCCAAACCAAAGGCTTCCCGAAGACCTGAGTCACTGATCATCCATCTTACAAAGCCTTGATCCAGGATACCATCTCCTCCCCCACCTTGGATACCAGTGGCTTCCCATCCGGCCCACGCCTGTGCATCACATCTCTCCCCTCACCATGGAGATGCAAAAGCCATAGGTCACAGCCTCTTTGCTCTTCTGTCTGGAGCAGCCTCCCCAAGGGTCTCCTCTGGAGCCTTGGGGTGCACGTGTATGCTCATTCCCAAAGAGCAGAGAGATTATGGAGGAGGCGAGTGTAAAGAGATATATTTTTTTAAGAGGAATATGACTAATACATTCCACTCCTTGGAATCTGGCCATGCAGAGGGAAGGGCATGGGGGGTGGACCTGTGGTTCCCTCCTCTGTGGGACTTGGGCCACCCCACGGCCTAGCCAGGGGGCTCCGAATGTATTTTGTACCGTGTTTCTTCCCCCAGGCTTAATTTCTAGTCTTTCTTTAGCGAAGCAGTAGAGGGCCGGGCCTCCCCTCCCATTGGAGGACAGCCCTCTCTGGGAGACTCTTGGTCCAAGACCTGGGCCATTTCTTTTGCTGGTGGTCACCTCAGGCCACAGCCTCTGTCTGAAGATTCCTCAGGTCAACACCATCATTAAATGCGAGTTTTTGTTGATAATTCTACCACGTGGCAGAGTGTTGTGTAAGGTGACTACACAAGTGAGATGTTTCTCTGGAGTGTGTGTGTGTGTGGGAGAGAGAATGTTCCAGGGCAGGGGCTGGAATTGCCTCTGTGTCTCCATAACTCCAGTATTACGGCCTGTGTAGAACTGCGTGCCTGTGCGTGAAACTCTCTTTGTGTTCAGCTGTCCTTCTGTGTATGTGAGACTCTGTCCCCCAGTTGGTGTGATGATCGTCCCATTTTTTAACATGTCTTTGGCGGTTCCTGTGTGTAGAGTTGTGCGTGTGCATAGGAGGAAATGGCCAGCGAGTATCCATCGTGTGCATGAGGCTTTGCTGTCTCTTTGTGGAGGACGTGTCTTCTGCATAAACCTTTTGCCCTTGGTAACTGTGGGTGTGTGGGGGTGGGTAGGAGTGGGGGCTGGGAAGCGGTTAGAGCGGTATGTAAGTGTCCCTGCTTGGGTACATGCACTGGTATGGGAGAAGTTACCTATGAGTGGTCTTTGTTGTATATATTTGGATGTGTGTGTGTGTGACAGAGTCTTTGAGTGTGGTGTGCCCACGTGTAGGAAGGAAGGAAGCCAGTAAGAGTACATACAGGGGACAGAAAAGGCTCCTGTATTCTTCAGTGAGTGGAGCTTGGTCTCAGTCCCCAAACCTCGCAGTACCCCTAAAGGGAGGTCCTGTGTGCTCTCTGCTCCCCATCAGCAGGGCCTCAGTGGGGAGGTGCTGGTCTCCCAGCCAGAAGGAGGGACAGAGTTTACACGCTGCCATGTGGACAGTGAGGGGGAGGAGTGGGGAACAGAGCTTGGAGGGCAGAGGAAGGAGAGGCAGGGAGACGGCTCGGGAGGACTGGGAGGCTGAATGGTCTTTCCCCCAGTCCTGGGGCCTCTGAGGTAGGGAGGGGGAAGGAAGGGCTTGTAAAGGGGAGAGTGTGAGGCTGTTTAGACAAAAGCAGGGCTTTCTCTTGGGGCTCCTGCTGGCTCACAGAAACCCTTCTGTGACTGAGCTCTTATCTGGGCCCCAGACTAAACTCTGACCCCAATCTCAAACCAAGTCCTGGCCCTGATCACAGACCGAGCCCCAATCCTAGAGCCCTGATTCTGATCACAAACTGAGCCCTGATCCCTTTTACAGATTGAGACACAGACTCCAAATGGAGTCACAGACTAAAACCCAACCAAGATTATAGATTGAGCCCCAATCTTAGGTTACATTTTGAGCCCTAACCCATGAAGAACTCTAAAACTGGCCCCAGACTGAATGCTGATAGTCTCCCTGAACTGAGCCCTAATTCCTGTCACAGATTGAATCTTGATCCTGGTTGTATACTGATCCCTGATCTTGGTCTCACACTGATCCCTGATCCCAGCCCCTGGTATTAGCCCAGACTGAGTCCTAAATCTGGCCCTATCCAGATTGGACCCTGACCCTGGTCATTGACTGCGTTCCAACTTGGGTCATAGGCTGACCTGTCCTAGGCTAACTGCTGATAGTGTCTCCTGACTGAGCCCTAATCTCTCACTGAGACTGAGCCCTGATTCTGGTCATAGATGGAGCCCCAGTCTTGGCCCTGGATCAGTCCTGACCTTGATCATACTGAGCCCTGACCTTGGCCACAGTCTGAGCCCTCATTTGACAGCAGATTGAGCCTTGACTTTGATCCCCACCTGAACCCTGAGCTAATATGCCAATTTCTTTTTCATTTCTCTAAATATTATCTAATTAACCAAATCTACAGGAGTGAGGGAAGCCATGAGCTTATAGCTCTGCGCTCTCCTGGGTTCTCCTCCTCAGATCTCACAGACCAGATGCCACATCCTTCTCCCCCCTCTTCCACTCCACATACCAGTCAGGAGGTGGGGCAGGTGGCGTGTGGTTCAAAGTTACTTTAGACCAGAAATGGGGGCTGAGATAGACAGTTCATCAGCCCCTGTTTTTTGCCGGACTCTGCCCTTTTTATAACACTTTATCAGCCATCTTGAGTCAAAGAGCTAGGAAGACTAAAGGTAGCATTCGTTCATTTATTTGACAAGTATTGACTGAGCGCCTACTCTGTGTCAGGCACTGCTTTGCATTCTGGGGATGAAAAAAAGAACAAAACAGACAAAATCCATGTCCCTGCAGAGCTTACATCTGACCAGACCCAAAGCTACAAGTGATCAGAAGGCTTTTGGGAAAACATGGGTGGGACAAAGAAGGTCGTTCCTGGCTAACACAATGAGGCAGGTAAAGATTATTAAGTTCACTTAACAGAGGAAGATCCTGAGGGTCAGAGAGGTGCAGCAACCAGCCTGAGCCACACAGAGAATTAGTAGCAGAGCCAGGGCCAATGCCCTCTGCTCCATGTGGGCCAAAAAGTCTCCATATACACAGTGGCAGGGCCCTTGCACCTGAGGGCGAAGGGAAGCTTTGGATCCCGTGGTGCAGGGGACATCCCTGGACTCGAGGCCAGGACACTCAGGCTTCCGTCCTGCAGTCGCCTTGGACTCACTATAGCTCCAGGACAGAGGAGACCAAGCAGGACACAGCCGTGCCAATTGCTGGTCTCTCTTCTCACTTGCTCCGACAACCGTGGAGGCCCCTGTGAGCACATCCCAGTGGGCAGTGCTGGAGAGGGCAGGATGCAGAGGCAGAGGGAATGCTGGGGGTGGGGGCCAAGCTCCTGCAGGGACCCCTCCTCCAGACGCCCAGCCCCCCGCCCTTCCCCTTTCTTTCTCATTGTTGTCTGTCCTGCTGCCCCTTTCTCTCGGTTCGCTGCTCGGGCTCTCAATTCCCTCTTTGGGGTCTCTCATATTTCCTCCAGCTGCTCATTAAACCTCTTTCGTTTCTTCTCTCTCTGTCGCTTTCTGTCTTTAGCTCCCGATTTCTCTCTCTCGGTTGGCACGGTCTATCTCCATGTCTCTCGTGATCTCTGAGCTCTCAGCTTCTTTGCCTCTGTTTCTCCCTTTCCCCCTCCCCGCCACTGTGGTCCCCTCCTCATCCCCCAGGAGAGGGGAGCGACCCAGCGGGAGTCAGACACAGTGAGACAAATGCTACCCTGGCCGGTAACCAAGGAAGTGGTTTCCTTAGCAACAGAATCTACAGGCATGCACTCCACTGCCCCGTCCCTCAACTATTACAGTCAGAAGAGAGACAACGGGAGGGGGGTGAGGGGTGGGGGGGGCAAGCCTGGAGCCAGGGAAGAGCGGTAAGGACACTGCTCCACTGGTCCTCGTGAGAGGTGACGGTGACCATGGATCAGCTTCGTGACTGCCACTTTGGGGAAGCTTCAAAATATGAGGGGTGGGGAGCAGTGGAATCCAAGAGAGCTGGGGGAAGGCTCCTCAGGACTTGGTGACAGACTGGAAGGGGAGGTGACAGAGACGGCAAGAAGACCCAAGGTCTGGCCTGGGCAGCTCCCTGGAGGGTGGTCCGACTGAATTGAAGAATGAGGGCGAAGAAGCAGGTAAAAGAGAGCTGTTATCTCCTCTGGCTGCCCTTCCCCAAGGGTCACAATGTAGTGGCTGCGGGAAGTGGGGAAGGAAGGTGGAGACAGACACAGAAAGCCCCCATTCCTTTCTCCCTACAAACTGGCAACGAGGAAGACGGGTGAGAAAGCACAGAGAAGTAAGTTGGTGACAATGCTTGGGTTCGAACCTGGGCACGACCCGGAGCTTTCTGGAAGGTGGCAGAGACAGAGGGTAGAATATGGAAAGAGAGATAAAGGAGAGGCAGAGAGGGAGCCGGAGACACACAGGGAGAAACTGAGGGAAAGCAGAGGGATTTAAATAATTGATCTGGCACACTTTCCCACGGGAACACAAAAATACGTTCTATTTTAGAGAAACGAGAAAAGGGGAGGGAGGAGACAAAACCCCCCACAGTACTATGATAGCTTTCGCAGCTATAAATAACTGTCCCCAAAGAAACACCTGCCAAGATGCATTCCCTTCCTAGGGGGTGAATTGTGTCCCCGTCCATGCTGATATTTAAAGGGGTGACGCAGGCAAAGGGCAGAAAGTTGATCAGTGTAACACAGGAACCCAGCTTGGCTTCTTCCCAAAAGCAATAAACCGTGCAGACGAGGAGAGCTGTACATCTGAATGATACTAATATCCGTCCTTGCAAAAGCAACATGTTTATTTATCACAGTCCCACGTTTACTGTTTCCCCTGAAATTTACAGTCTGCAATCTGCCGGCGGGCAGGGGAATAAGTGTGGAGATGAGAACAAACAGGCAGAACTCGGAGGAGGAAGAAAATGATCGTATATGGATCCCACACCCCACCCGCCTCACGCCGCAGCTGCCTTCGATTCAATCTCAAACAAAGGCGGGGATTTACCCGACCAGGGCCGGGCGGCTCTATCTGAGGCCTCTGACAGTTAGTTGGAATGAACAGTCATTATGGAATGTAATGTGTTGCAGCAAAAGAATTGTTGCATATTCTGAAGTTGTTTGTTACACAATGATGGAGCAGGAAGGGGAGAGAGGGTAGAAATTGGTGGGGACAAGACTTTTGTGCGTCCCTGGGTGGCGCAAAGAGTTAAGGGTTGGCGGTTGGAAATTACCCAGAGGCGCCTTGGAAGAAAGCCCTGGCGATCTGCTTCTGAAAGGTCCCAGCCTTAAAAACCCAGTGGAGCAGTTGTACTCTGCACAAATGGAATCGCTGTGAGTTGCAATCCACTCTAACAACTAATAACAACAAAGTGGGGGACAAGAGGGGGAAGAGGACAGAAGGACAGAAAGGCAGGAGAGGCCAAAGTCTCTCCAAAGACCTGAATCAAGGACCCGACCTATTCTCAAAGTAACCTGAGCTTCCAGCACTGCAAGAGACCCGGCCATATGCTGGTCCTTCTGAATTCGATTGTCCAAAAGGTGGGGTCCAGGAGTGTGTCTGTGTTTTCAAAAGCTTCCCAAGTAACTGGTATTTAGCCAGAAGTGGGAACTACTGCCATAGGGGATGGCGCAGCAGGAGGGGGTGGGAGGGATCCTTGCTTTGGGGTGAAGGTGTGTTTATGATTGACTTGATGATAACTCCTGGCCCCATCTAGCACCACTACAGCAGGCAGCAGTCACAACAGGCGAGTACAAAGGATTGTTGATC